GCCGTCTACATCTTCCTTCTTCTAAACATTAGGTCTAACTCCCCTACACTTTTGTTTGTGGTTTTTTTTTTTAATTCATCCCTTCAGGCTTGGCAAAACAGCTATGTCACTTTGGAAGGGACTAAAGAGTCTCTTCTGGGCCTCTAAATCTGAGAGCTGTGTTTGAGGGAATGCTCTCTATCTGAGCAACTGCATTAACTTTTCTGTTTGTATTTTCGACAACTTTTTGATGGCTTCCATTGAGTTAGTGCCCAAGAATACAGCAGTGCAAATCACAGAACAAAATGAGTCACACATTATGTTTGTAGTTTCCTAGACTGTTTTATTTATTGGAATAATTATAGATTTAATACTTCCAATGACATAAATTGCCTGTAGAGACTTTTAGGAAGTTACTTGCTAATAGATATTTCCCACCAGATAAATGTAGTTCATAACCATAGAGATAAGATGTTGTCATATTTTTTCTCCTCTTTCCACCCATAGATCATCCAGGGTCTGCCATACTAATGTCCTGCCTGTAGGGCCTCATGCTTTCATTTTCTGGTGAGAGGGATAAAACTTTAAATTCTCTCTGTTCTTTCATTGCAGCATTTCAGCATAAAGCAGCATTTTCATTACTTTCTTTTGGCCCTGTCCCAGTTCTGTCCACTCTGAGATACAGGAGCAGTACATGTGGTGTTTTTTTAAAAAACTGAATTCTAGCATTTCCCAGCTGAGATGGGAGGGACAAATCTGTTATTTGTGCTTCTTAGCATTTTTGTACTGGAGTATAGAACCTGCCACTGTACTGAGTTTTTATATCCAGCTATGGAACTATGTCTCATATCTAAAGGTAAATTATGGGAGATATATTAAATTGAAGAAGATACAAGGAAGATCTCCTTAGTTTGGCATCATAACCCATACCAGCACTGTCTGGTAAAGGGGAAAAGCTTTGAAAATGTACATTTCTCCGTTCACCCCAGCACTTAAAATTGACCCAGTATTCTTTAAACTCTTTCCACTGCTCCTATATACAATTTCCAGTGTGGACAAACTAAAACTTGCTATAGGGCTTACCTTACTTCTTACGTATTTTGCATGAAAATCAGCAGCAGAAATAAAGCTTGTTTGATAGCAATCATGGATATGGAATGCATTTCCAGGAGGATTTCATACTAACTCTCTCTTCTGTCCCCTACCTCAGGCTCCTAGGCTGGATGAAAACACAGTACACAACAACTCTTTTTCAAATATTGCTTCCAATAAGGAACTGGGAGTTGGGAGGTGGGGCATGTCATATTTTGCCCTCCATGTTTGTGATAATTTGTATTAAAAAATAGGAGGCAAGGGGGTTGGGAGGGGAGAATTCAGGACTATTAATCATGGCAGTCAGGTGAAGTTCCCGACGACTGGAAAAAGGGAAATATAACCCCCATTTTCAAGAAGGGGAAAATGGATGACCCAGGGAATTACAGACCAGTCAGTCTCACCTCTGTGCCTGGCAAAATCTTGGAGCAGATTCTCCTGGAAGGCATGCTAAGGCACATGAAAATCAACAAGGTGCTTGGTGACAGCCAGCATGGCTTCACTAAAAGGGTAAATCCTGCCTGACCAATTTGGTGGCCTTCTGTGATGGGGCTACAGAACTGATGGACAGGGGTAGAGCAGTTGATGTCATCTACCTGGACTTGTGCAAAGTGTTCGGCACTGTCCCACACGACATCCTTGTCTCTAAATTGGAGAGACATCAATTTGATGGATGGACCATTCAGTGGATAAACACCTGGCTGGATGGCCCCACACAAAGAGTTGTGGTCAATGGCTCAATGTCCAGTTGGAGACCAGTAACGAGTGGTGTCCCTCAGGGATCGGTGTTGGGACCAGTCTTGTTTAACATCTTCGTCACTGACATGGACAGTGGGATCAAGTGCACCCTCAGCAAGTTTGCCGATGACACCAAGCTGTGTGGTTCGGTTGATACGCTGGAGGGAAGGAATGCCATCCAGAGGGACCTTGACACACTTGTGAGGTGGACTGATGCCAACCTCATGAAGTTTAACCATGCCAAGTGCAAGGTCCTACACCGGGGTCGGAGCAATCCCAGGCACAGCTACAGGGTGGGCAGAGAAGAGATTCAGAGCAGCCCTGCAGAGAAGGACTTGAGGGTGTTGGTTGATGAGAAAAGGAACATGAGCAGGCTTCAGTGTGCGCTTGCAGCCCAGAAAGCCAGCTGTGTCCTGGGCTGCATCAAAAGGAGTGTGACCAGCAGGTCGAAGGAGGTGATCCTGCCCCTTTACTCTGTTCTCGTGAGACCTCACCTGGAGTATTGTGTGCAGTTCTGGTGTCCTCAACATAAAAAGGACATGGAACTGTGGGAACAAGTCCAGAGAAGGGCCATGAGGATGATCAGGGGACTGGAGCACCTCCCATATGAAGATAGGCTGAGGAAGCTGGGTCTGTTCAGCCTGGAGAAAAGAAGGCTGTGTGGAGACCTCATAGCAGCCTTCCAGTATCTGAAGGGGGCCTGTAAGGATGCTGTGGAGAGACTCTTCACTAGGGACTGTAGTGACAGGACAAGGGGTAACAGGTTAAAACTTCAAACAGGGGAAGTTTAGATTGGATATAAGGAGGAAGTTCTTTCCTGTTAGGGTGGTGAGGCACTGGAATAGGTTGCCCAGGGAGGTTGTGAATGCTCCATCCCTGGCAGTGTTGAAGACCAGGTTGGACGAGAACTTGATTGATATGGTTTAGTGTGAGGTGTCCCTGCCCATGGCAGGGGGGTTGGAACCAGATGATCTTAAGGTCCTTTCCAATTCTAACCATTCTATGATTCTATGATTCTATTGGAAACACCTGATTGCAAAAAGGAAATAGCAGATTGGAGCTTTTAATCAAGTATCCTGGAACTCAGGTGAGTGTCAGAGAGGACTCTCCCACCACAATTAAGAGTTGGTGGGAACATCTCCTAGTGGGAGTTTAACTCCTAAGTAAGTGTTTAGCTGCATCTCTGGGCACCTAAATGCCTTTTACATTTGTCCAAGATAATCTTTAGGCTTCGCCTGTTATTTATGGTTTGGAAGTAGCTTTTCCTGATGAGTCATACAAGGCAGATTTTAACTCAACGGATTTTCTATATGCACAACACATCTGTGTTGCACTCAGCTACTTCAGTCATAGGAGAGGTTCATAAAATAGCCTTTCAAAAGTGTATCAGACAGTTCTCCTGTTAAAATTACTTTGCATAAGCCTTTATGAGTGCTCCAGATTGTGCTGGGACAAATTTAGGTTTAATCTAATGCAAAAGAATGCCAAGACTGAGCTTCCAGTTTTTGACTTTTGCACTATGATGGGCAGGCTGCAGCAGGGTACAAGGAAAAACAGAAGTGAGAAGTTTCTGCATAGAATGAGTGCCACTGATTTCACAGGGCAAATATAGATTTAATCTGCAAAAAGAAAGAATGCTGAGACTGGCCTTCTGGGTTTCACCTACTTGCTGTGATGGAAAAACTGCAATGAGATATATAGAAAACCATCAGTGAGTAGTTTCTGCAGAGGATATAAATCCAGAGAACAGGACCTGCCATTGTCTTCAGCTGTAACTTACTCTTCCCTTGGAAGTATTTCCTCTGTCATAGTTCACATATTTTTTAATAATTCTACTACTAAAATTTATTTAGTAGCATGTCTGTGACACCATTTCAGGAACTTCTTTTTGGTTTTGCTTTATATTCTCTTATGTATAACCTGGTACTAACTATCTGACCTACGTGCTTTTTAAATACATGTGTGTGCACACACACGCAGACACGTATCTCTACACATACACATGTGCACTGTTTTCCAAGTATCTATAGGATTTCACCTTTTCATGTTTGTTACATAAAGGCAAGTAATTTCTTTCACGGCTCTTACCATAGGTGAAACTTTGGTAGGTTTGCTGTATTAACAAGTTGCATGGTGGTTGTTGAACAACTAGACTTAGCCAAGTCCTTTCCTATAAGATGTTTCAGTCTTCAATACAACTCTTTCTATTTAGAAAGGATAGAAAGCAGCTGCCTCTGGGGTTTACTCATTTACAGTCAAGGGGGTATTTTAACTGCTGGGCAGCCCTCCTCCTAGAAACCACTGCTGCTGAAATGTTTGTGCGTTTGGCCTGTCTGCCCTTTCAGCACATTTAACATAGCACATTTGTATGTTTTATTGTCTACACCCGACATTTTTCATAGGTTGCCTTTGCTGGAGAGCATAAGAGCATCACAGTATAGGTGACCTTGTCAGCATGTAGAGGGACAGTTTAATCTCCTTTGACTGGCCCTTTTTGAGGGCACCAGCACTGTTATCTTGATATTAGTAAAGTTATCAACAATAGCAGAACTCATTATCCATAGAGAAGACCTGGCTTGTTTCATGCAACCACATCTCTTACTGAAGAGCAGAGATGTTTAATCCATCACTGAGAAGCTGGAAAGGGTTAAGCCAATGTGAGCTTTGATTTCAGTGGGAAGTCATCACATAGGAAACGATTGTGTGTTTGGGTCATGGAGACTTGGGGTTTTTTCTTAATATCTGGAAGAATCCCCTGCCTTTGTGCCTTGGACATGTGGTGCTTTCCCATGTTGCTCATGACAGAGGACGTCTTATTCTTTGTCCACCAGCACTGCACAGAAGGAGAGTTCTCAGCACCAACATGAATGTCTTGACAATCCCTTTTGAATTCAGCAGTTCAGCTTGCACAGGTCAGACGTAGTAGCTTCCAGGGGCTTGATGACCAAAAAGAAGGTAGCAACTCCCTTAATGAAAATGGATCATAGTATCCTCCCTGAGCAACAGCATTTCTTTGTTTTGAGGGTGGGACAACTGAAAAATGTAAGAGTAGTGAACAGAAAGAGTCATGTGCTTTTCCAGTGACAGCCTCTCTCCTCCTCACTTCATGCCTGTGCCTGTGGTGGCTGGTGTTCAGGGTTATTACTTGTCCAAGTTTTCTGAGGGCTCTTTTCCTTATTGTGTCCATTCAGGTCTCGGTCAATCAGCGGAGCATCATCTGGGCTCTCCACCAGTCCTCTCAGCAGTCCAAGGGTAAGTGGTGCTGCTTCCAGATCTGTTGGTACAGTTCACTCACACATGCTTGATGCTTTTCAACATCTGTTGCTCCAGAGCTGTGGCTCTTAGCTGGGATGTTTTGTTTTTTCTTGGCAGCTTGTAAATTTTCATGTGTAGCGAAGGAAATGTTAATTGCAAATGCAAGCAGAGAGTTTCTCATACATACTCCCTGCACTGTTAGCAGGGATCTCACTGTGCCCCTGCCCTCTTCAGTCTCAAGCACATAGAATTATGTTGCTATTATGTTGCCATATCCAGCTGAGGTCCAAATATGGCATGGTTTCAGACCAAATATCGGGAGCCATTTCACAGCTACCTTCAGTCAGGTCACAGTAGAGCCCCAAACCGTGCCAGTTACAGCGAGCTTCATTCTGTTTGTACTGAATAGTTTGTACTGAATAGTTTGTACTAGAAGGTCAGAAAAAATAAATTACACAAATTTGAGGGCTAGCAAAGTTAAAAGGAAAGTAAGTTGACTAATTAAGACAAGAACTCAAACCCCTATAAATGTTACAGTCGCATGTGCTTATTCAACATGCAGTCAACTAAATATCAGTCCTCAACTAATACTGATACTCAGCTAGCACAAAACATGCTTAATGGAGTATCTGCTGCAAAGTTAATACAGTTTTTAAGTGCAATGACAGAGGCCTTCCTCTCTTGGTAATTTCTTTAGAGATAAGACTGAGTATTCCTAGTGTCTGACAAGGTCAGCTTAGTCACTTCAAGACTGCAGTCCTTACAAAAGTCTACACCTCATCAAGAAGCCTGTAGGGCTATGGTGATCCATGTTTCCTAATTGTCTGGCACAGTGTCTTAGGAAAATTTCCACATCTCTTTCATGACTTCATGAGAAGATGTTATTCCCCAATTGGACAGCCCTCGTGTTAGGCTATGGATATACCTATGGATCTACTCTTAGGTATATGAAGATAACATCAGTATTCCAAGTATTTAAAATTGTAATTCTCCAGTAAGATCGTGTGTAATTCTTAGGCATAAAGACACACTTTCAGGTCTAAATTTATAGGCTAGTAAAAATTCCGTGCTTGCTTGAACTAAAATATATTCTAGACTCCTGTCAATTGTTGCCCTATTTTGCAACTGGCAAAAATGTGTTTGTGATCACATCTGTGTCTTTAACATGCCAGAAAACAGTGAAGATCCATTTCCTTGTTTCTGCACTGGGACTCCTGGATGTCAGTAGAATGAAGGAGAGGTCCTCACTCTTATGCCACTGCAAAATGTACTGAAAAAGAGCAATGGAAACAGTTTTTGCACAAAATAATCATCCAGTGCATCAAACCTAAAACTTGATCTCATTAGTTGATCTCTTGGGATCAATTTCTGACATCTCAGTAGGACTACATCAAAAAATAAGGATGGCAAAATCTGTTCCATAGTTGCTATATCTTACTATTTTTACTTAACAGGTGGTTGATCAAATAGTCTTCAAAGGGATTTAGCAACCAGATGGCATTTTCAGCAGATCATAATAATATTAAGGCAGGTTAAGTTTGAGGCTTAGAAGGAAATGATGGAATAAAAATTGGTGTGGTTTGTTTTTTTTTTTTGGTTTTGCTTTTTTTTTAATGTCCTTACCTATGTTTCTAATAGCACCTTAGATTATTGAAAGAGAACATACTTTAAAAAGCAAATGCACATTTCGCTATACGCACTGCTTAGGTTCAGTTCTATGAGGAACTGAATTCAACAGCAGCTAAAAGTTCTTAGATCTCACAAGATCTCATGGTAGTATTCCCCATTGCACCAGCTGAAATTCAGACTTCTGTATTTTTTTGTGCTTTATTTTATTACTAAAAATGTGGTAGTTAAGGGTGTCCCTTCAAATTGAAAACAGCTTAAGTGGGAGTTGAATTTGAGTTTTTCTTTCAAATTTGTTTCTCAAACCATCGTACGCATAAGATACAAAAATGGCAAGGGAACATTTGCAGTCAAGCTGTCTAACTTGTATCCTTTGGCGCTATCAGATGCTGATAGTGACTTCCATAGATTAACCACTTTCCTCATCTTTTCCACTTCTTTTTTCATTGGTGATCAGAATTTACCAACATGGCAGAATTCAGTTAACTTTACAATCCTAGTAATAATACAGATGTGTCGATGTAGTGATTTTCTTTTCATTTTGGTGGCCTAGTCCCAAGTTCTTTGAAGTAATTACAAAACTTTGATGCAAACCAGTTTAGAAATTAAGTCTTAAATACATTTCTGCATTTTTAAAATGTAGCAAAATTGTGCTAATCCATCAAACCTGGAAAGTAAACTCACCAGTGAGTATGCTTACCTGGGACTGAGATTTGAGGCATGGTTACGTGTACATAAAATGTCTGGACAGTGCTTGATTACAGCTTTTATGTGTTACGAATTAATGATAATAGTAATAATATTATGGTGATAACTCATAATAGCTAATCATTTATAGAAAACAGAATCTGAGTGTAGACCAAAGCTAAAGATCTTGAGTAGTGATTTCTATTTTTACCATGCTGCCAGTACTTATAATCTAAGGTGTTAACAGTGATGTTTTGTAAGGACATTTGTTTTGTTTAAAATGTGATATTTAGCTTGATAATATCCCTTTAAAAGGCTTCTATCTTCCCAAGTTTGTGTGTTGCTGTTTGCTGTCGGCATATGAATGGTTTCCCAAAATGCCTCTAACATGCTAAATGTTATTGTTTGGGGAAAAAAAAAAAAAGTAATTCATAATCCCATTTTGATAATTCAGTGATGGATTATGAACTTGGATTGTCTTTTTCTTTTTAAACCATGTCTTACAAAACCCCACCCCCTCCATAGAACTGGGACTTCATGGCAAATATTGCTGTGACTTTATGATGGAAATTCAGATTATCAAGCTGTCCTTCAGTGCGATGAGGAATGTTGCAGGAGAAGCATAAAGTCTGATGGGAAGTATCATTTCTTCCCAGATAAACAAATTTGCCAGGCCTCTCTGAAGTGTTTGCTATAGCTGTTTACAAATCAAACACCAGTCTGAGTTTTCATGTTTCTCCTGGAGGTGTGTGTTCTGAAGCCTCCAAGTGAATGCTGAGCAGTTTAACCTTCCAGGTCAGGGCAGAAGACTCAATGCCCACTTTCCAACCCCTTTCTGCAATGGGTGGCTGCAACAGGGGTGTGCATTAGGCAGAGTCGGGTAAAGAGGAAGGAAAGAGGTTCTGACTGGTGTGTGCAGTAACGTGTGTGTATTGCCTACCACTCCGTATGTATCACACACCTGTTTTGAGTTTCATCTCTCTTCTGGGTTTGCATATGCGCACTTGGAGCTGAAAGAGGTGGTCCCATTCTTGGCACATCTCAATTTGTCTGTGGCTTCAGTGGTTCTTCTTCCCCTTCCTCACCTCCCTACAGCATCTTGCTTCTCTCACTGCAGGGCAATCAGAACAATCCCAGAGAGATGGCATTTCTCTCTTCTTTTTTTCTTGATGACTTTCTTTTTTTCTTTTTTCTTTTTTTTTTTTTTTGTTGTTGTGTTGTTTGGTTTATTTTTGTTTGGTTGGTTTTTGTTTGTTGCTTTTGTTTGGGTTTTTTCTTTGTTTTACTTTTCTTTCTGTTGTTTTCCTTTGCTGACACGTGGTTGGTTAATATGATGAAGCCTGTTATGACACTGTTGTTCTTGCTGCTGCCGCTGCTGCTGTTGTTGATTATGCTGTGTTCCCAGCTAACTGCATGTCTTTTTTTTTGTTTTTTGTTTGTTTTCGTTTCTTTGCAAAATCCCCCCCTCCCCACTACCCCTTCACCTCCATCTCTTGTGTCTCCTTGTGACATGGTGCATCTTTGTGACTCGAATGGATTTTATTCTGACTTTCTCTGCTCGCCCGCTCTATGCGTATTTCACTGTTTTTGATGTGCATGGACACCCTGCGTCTGTCTTGTAGCCTATCAGAAAGTTCTTCATCCCCCCTCAGACCTCCGACCTCCCTTTCTGTCCCCGACCCCAAGTCTCCTTGGACCCTGATGCTTGTAGGAACGCCTCCAGGCCTGGACATGTACTCCAACCAAAGCCAGCACTTCAGCCCAACCCAAAGACGCAGACTTTGCCATCCAAGAGCAAATTGGCCGAAAAACCACTCCAGTCTACTAAGTCAAACCCACTCCCTACCAGCAATACCAGCGCCCCCTCTTCCCAGAACACCCCTGTGCAGAATGCTCAGGGCCGCTCACCTGCTGCCGGCTTTAACCCACAGCTGGCTGTTCCTAAAGTTCAGACCAACCCTATGTCTCCTGTTAGATTGCTCCCTTCTAGTACTGACCCAAGCACCAAATCTATCCCCATCATACAGGTCACCCCTCACCCCTCTCCAAGGGGAAGTCCCCTCCCTACCCCCAAGGGGACACCTGTCCATACGCCAAAGGAGAGCCCAGCAGGCACACCCAATCCAACACCACCATCCAGCCCCAGCATTGGAGGAATGCCATGGAGGACACGGCTCAACTCAATCAAGAATAGTTTCCTGGGGTCTCCTCGCTTCCATCGCCGGAAATTGCAAGGTGAGTACTCACCCAAACACACAGGTGGTTCTGATTTGGGCAGACATTCGGCATCAAGTCTCTCTGTGGCTCTGCAAGTTTCATGTATTGGGGACTGAATAATACTGGCGTTGAAAATGAGAGTGATAGCATCAGCCAGCCCCAACCCAAGGCATGTGTAAGCAGGCTCTGTCATGCCATTGCATCTGCTCCAACACCATCTCCTGAGCCCTCTTCAAACTCTAGCCATACAGCTCGTACTATCCCTCTCGTGGTTCTTAGAACACAAGAAAATTTTATCTTCAGCTTCTCCGCTTGTTTTGTCAGTGAACCTAGAGTTCTGCCACTTCCCCTATGGCTGTGCTCTGCTGCCTCTCCTTAGCCACAGGCTGAGCCTTCTGCTGAAAAAGGATAGCCAGTGGCAATAGGATGAAATAGGTTCTTCTGAAGCACAGCTTGTTTGATCTTTGTTGATGCTTTTTTTACCTCCTTTGGTAATTGGTGTAAAAATCTCCTTAATTCATCACTGATCTTGTATCTGCTGGCCTCTTTCAGTTTTCAGAGTCTCTAGAGTGTTGAGATGTACAAAATTTTCTGCTTCAAGCTCCAGGTGGCTTTTTGTATTCAGGCGAAGGGCACCCAAAGTCACATGCATTATCCTCACATGTCACCAGCAGTTATCCTGACACCCTATGGTTTTTTACAGTGTACTGGGATGTGATCCCTTGGGAAAGGAGGATTACAGCCATGAAGAGTTGAATTTGAACTGTCATGGTCAGCGACGTTGTTTCTGAAATGGTCAGAGAACTGCAGAGAATTGCAGCAGTGACTGAGCTGCATCCAGCTAGGCTTTGAAGCACTTGTAAAGCGATCAGACTGTCATGGTGTTTGGGTCTGAACCAGAAACCATTGAAGCCAGTGCAGAATTACATAATGATATAAGGAAGGGTAGAGTGAGCCTTGAAAGGCAGCTCTTGATTAGATACAGTGATCCAAAGACATATGACGAATGTTTAAATGTCTGAACTAGTCTGCAGAGGCAGTAGGGAAATGCAAGAGGGTGTAATGTCAGAATTGTTTCATTGGTATACAAGCAGAAAATTGAAGGTGTACTGAATCATCCATTTCTTTTCTCCTTCCCTCTCTTTGGCTGTGTGTGCAGTACCTACACCAGAGGAGATGTCTAATTTAACCCCGGAATCATCCCCAGAGTAAGTACTTTGCCGTTACACTACTTTCTTTCTACCAAATACCAATGTCATTTCCTTGCCTGAATGTCATAGGGCGACATATTTCTGTTGCGGATCAGTGTCTGACTGTAATCTGTTGTCCTGTGAGAGGGATAGAGATGTGAAACTGTTCTGCCAAGGACCCAGGATAAGATCTGTACCTCAGTGGGGTCAACAGGTGATGAAACAATCTCCTAGTAATCACCTAATTTTCTCATAGCTTGCTGAATTTACTAAATATGTAACGTTCTTTCTCTCTTCTTTCATTTGGTTGTCAAGCAGATCACTCTTGAGGAGTGGAGAGGTTAATCAGTGGTTTATACTGGCACTAACTATACAGTAAAAGGTCTTCCTGTTAGTACAGGAGACTTTGTATCCTCAGGATAACATGCAGAAGCCTCTGCTAAGATATTTCAGAGGAATCTTTGGCTGCGATAGTAAATGCAGCGTTAATTCTAGGCAGCAGCACTGGGACATGCAGAAACTGCTTCATATTCACCAGACTCATTCCTAAAAGTCAGTGTGCATTTCAGCCTTTCATTGCACAAATGTGCGTCACTGCATAGCAGGTTTGGAAGTCCCTGCCAGAGAGTGCTGCTCCAAACACTTCCTAATACATGCAACAGATGCCAAATTATTCCTTTTTATTTTCACAGCTTGTGTTTGTGCACCCAGTGCCCATAGACGTACCCAGCCAACCAAGGCAATTTGGCCTTTTGTTAAAATACTTGTGTGAAATATTCATGAGTTGTAGATGGAAATTTCAGACCCAAAGTTTTACAATTGCCAACAATGGCATTGCCTTAACAATTTCCCCCAGACCTGGCATTTATCTGGTATAAGATAGGCACTCTTAGGCTGCATATCTAATGCTGCAGAATAGAGAGGGATAAAGACTTGAGGAGAGGGAGAAGTAGGGAATAGTAAATGTTAGCAAAAGAAATCAGTGAAGAAAAATGCAATAAATTGTATTTTCAACGCTTTGGAGCATTTACCAATAGAAATGCGTAAGTGAATTTCATAAAATTAATGCATCCTTATCAAAGAAATATATGATACTTTCATCTCAGATGTTTTCAAGGCCATTAAAGCAGAAAACCTTCAGAACTAAATTTCTCCTCTTCACGCATGTATGTTGGTGGAAGATTTGCTGTTAATTTATTGCCTTTTCTGCTTCCTACTCACTCTTTAAAAGCTGGTACAGAGAAGCAGTGCCTGTCATTTGAGGCAGTTTGGATGCAAGTCAAAGCCTAAGGCCTTTTTTTTCTCTTTCTGTGTAATTGCCAAATTAATGAGTTCAGTTGGGCTGCACCCTGCAGTAAACATAATAAAAGTCATAAAAAATAATGAACCGGATTATATTTTAACGATAGATGTTTTGTTGCTCAGTGCCCACTTCCACATGTCTTATTTTTAGTAGTACTTCCTTTCTTTCTGTAAGAAATAGGATATCCTTATCAAGAGCCGTATTGACCTCATGGGTTAAGCAATAAATAAGGTCCTTGCTCTGGTACAGCAATGGCTGCCATTCATTTAACAAACCTGATGATTAGGTAATACACTTTGACATGTCTGAGTAATACTATTCTTTCTCATATGAGAGAGTCCGAGAAAATGTGTTAGGGATGCCATTTAAAGAGACATAGCTCCAGCTGCTTTAAACCTGCAAAGCTCCATTTGCTTGAGTAGAAATGCTGTTATTTATGCCAAGCAGGTAAACCTCTGGAGGTTACAGATCCATGCACTCAGAGGCAGGTAGGGAAGACAGTGAGGCTCTCCAGAAGGTGATACAGTCAGACACTCTAAAAGAAGGAAAAGGAACAGCATTATAGCAGTGAGAAATTCAGTGTGAAGGAATAAAGCACCAGCCTCCATTTTCATGCTAATCTATTTGCTTTTTCATCAACTGGACACCTGATTAGATTCCCTGGAGTAATCTACATACTCAGTATCCCATACACCTCTCCTATCTCCCTCCCCCTTAGGAGGTTTGCCATGACAAGAGAAGATTGTTAATTTTAAGTACATTTTGTAGCCTGATCTTGTGAGATGCTAAAACATCTCATTCCAGGTGCTGAAGATCCTGGATTTATACACGTTTTAACCCAACTTAGCAGCAGTTAACACCTTTTAAGAGAAGAGAAATCTTTATTGTGTTGTTTTACTCCAAAGCAACTGCCTCCTCTTCTTCAGTTGTGCTTATACACCTGTTACCTAGGTGTATAAACACAGCTAGTTTTGCTAATTTGGGGGAGAAAAGCCATTGCATGTGTGCTATGTCATGATTCTGTTCATTCCAGAAACAGGAGAGGCTGCTGGCAAAATTATTTTGTGAATTCCAGTGATTTACATGTTGGAGCATAGCCCAGGATATCGGTGAATCTCCCAGAGTCAGTATTACTGGTGATAACCTTGCCAAAGAAAAGAGCCCAGCTGGACTCTGGAGACTCCAGACCAAGTTTCCAAGTGCTGAATGAGAGGAAACCTCCCTATCTTCTAGAGCCCTTTTAACCTGTGCTTTTTAAGAGACCTATAAATGAAGGGCCAGTAATGAAAATATAAAAATGAAAAGCCACATTTTAACATAGCAGACCTGCACTTAAATATGCCCACTTTTTTTAGGCCCAGCTTCCATACGTGACATACACTGCCCCTGGAGTCCTTATAGCCAGTCCTGGATCAGATTATGATACATACAAGCCTAAAACAACCAGCTGTTTTAGATGGATAACCAGGTGCTAATTTACTAATGAGCATAGACCCTTTAATGCAGGGAGCTATTGCCCCAGCTCTCCAGAGGCTTGCAGAGTTGTTGTGGTGTGTGTGAGACACATGAGCTAATTAGTATGTAATTTCCTTTCACACTCTAACCCTGGCTCCTTAACGACCCATTTAAATGAGAGGCCCTTTCTCTTTACTGCTCCCTATGCTAATCTCTGGTTCACTGGCTTGGTTACAGCTGCCTATGAATATTTTAGGGAGTGACAGTTTTCCAGCCTGCTTTAATTGAGTGGGGGGCACTCGTTTACCAAATTGCAAGTGAATCTTTCTGTACTCTTATTTTTGGTTGCCTGCAGTAAGTAGAAGCAAATGATTATTTACTCAGCTGAGTGGTTTTCCAGTTGTGGTCTTTCTGCTGTGTGCATGAAATGGGCAGTGAGATGACAGTTGTGTGATTCTTGGAGCATTCTGGAACTGGGGTTGAGTGCAAATTGCTGGATGCTGCTGAGGTCAAGCTTTGTTCTTTATCCCCAGGGTCTAGACTTCAAATTAGTTTCCTAGTCTGTTCCTCTCTTTCCTAGTCTCTGCCCTTCCTCATTCTGCATCAGTCTGAGTCTTTACTGCAGAAAGTGAATCTACTAATAACTCTCTCCAGCTGTTTATCACTGTGCTGGAAAGCTGATGTATACTAATCTTTTTGCAGATGGCTCTCCTTGTCTGGAGAAGTTGTCTCCTTCCACTGAGTGGTGAATGTCCGCCAAAACAAATAAAAACCTATTGTTTGCCATACTGCAAACTGCACTTGTCATGGCATTATAAAGTATCCTGTGGAGGAAAAAACCTGCAGTCTCTTAGTGGCAGGTCTTATAATTTCTGACATTTTCATGCTAAATTATTCCCTACTAGAATATGGCTGATTACAGTGGAATTTTCCCTGGGTTTAGGTTGGTCCAGCAATTCTTTGGCTGTATCTCATGGCTCACAGCAACTTTTCTCTGCTCAAAACCACATCTGTCAGAGTTTCTACCTTAAAGTTCTGGGTAGTGCCCCCCAATAATGTTCATGTCCCTGCATTTTTCCGTTAGCCTATTTAACTTAAAAGGGAATGTCAACAAAGTGCATTGAGATGGTGAAACAAGAAGCAAAATCAAACATTTGCTGATATGATCAGTGTAAAAAAAAAACAGCATTTCATTTTATGATGAAAGCTCTATCTGGTGCTGAAAGGAACTGCAAAGTTGGGCTGCTGTCAGTGGAAAGCCTGAACTGTATTTTGTATGGTGTTAATATCTTCTCTCATAGTACTGAAAATTCATTCCTTTGGAGGGTGGCCAGAGTTCATTCATTATATAGACACCCTGAGTGGGACTAATGAATGGGACAGTCTTTGTCCTGCCCTCTGCGTAGGAATGGATTTCATTCACTGACAGATTGGAGGTCCACTGAAATCTACAGCTTTCTTTAAAAAGAAATTCTGTGATTGCACTATCATCAGCCCAATAGGACACCTTCAGAAAATGGACTATTCATGTCCTAGAACACAAGAGGGCTTGAAATTGGGTGGAAGAAACTTAAACCCCTGTTACCAGCATCCACATACTGCACAAGAAATGGAGAGATCCCTGGAGGCAAACCAGAAATGTGTCCCTGTCTTGTGTGCACTTTATATATGCAGTATTAATCGGTATATTGGCTCAATCAAAAGGGTTACCGTTGCTCCTGACTTGGCATTGTTGGGGACACATGCTGCCAGGCTAACACTATGTAGTCTTACCATTTTAAGAGTTTTTACTAAGTGAAATGTTCTAGATGTTCTCTGAGGCTGTTTCCCACTTGCTGGTAGTAATAGTATTGCATCTGGAGTATTACCAAAACTTCCTTGTGGGTTTTTTTAATATTTTGTTCTAGCTGGGGTATATGAGAAATAGTGCTTAATATGCTAAACCATCTATTTCTTTTCATCATGTCAGGCTTGCCAAAAAGTCCTGGTTTGGTAACTTCATCAACTTGGAGAAAGAAGAACAGATTTTTGTGGTCATTAAGGACAAACCGCTAAGCTCCATTAAGGCTGATATTGTCCACGCTTTCCTCTCGGTAAGTCACCCCAGCTGCCTCTTGGAGGCATTGCTCACTGATCAGTTCTAAGACTCCTTGTGCCATATGTTACTGGGTAGGGTCTCTGCTGCTTCAAATGCATACTTTGTGGATTTAATTTATATGGCCTGTTGAGTCAGACCTCTACTGGACTCTGTCTGAATTTCTAATAGATAATACTTGCCAAGATAAGAAAAGGTTTCAGCCTTCTTGGCAGCATCTCCAGGTTACCAGCTCTTGGAATATTGCTGCAGTTAGAGCACACAGCTGATGCAGTAGCAAGACAGTGATTTGCTGCTTTTGTCAAACTAACCAGTCTGTCTGGCAACAGACTGGGTCTCCTCAGCTGATTATGTCCTTCACCACTTTAGTCAGATAAAAATCCTGTCTCACGTCTGTATTTGTTACTTTAAATCTCCCCTTCCATGCTACATGGCAGAAAGAAGGGTAATCTCCTCTGATGGCCAGTGTATCAGTTGTTGCAGATGTAATGTATTTACAATCTAGGAAAGCAGAGGGAAATGGCAATTTTTTCCTTTATAAGTCTTTATTCTCACTATCTAGAAATACAAACGAAGAAAAAGTCAGCACAGTAAAGTTTGAAAGATTTTTCAATTCAAGGTAGTTAACAACATAATTAGAGTTTTTTTTTTCAATACAGTGAAGAGGAGACTTAATTTCTTCTATCATTTGTTCAATTTATATTGTTTTCCACAAATTACTGCACTTCTTTTTAGTCTCTATGAAGTTGCAATTAATTTCTTCCAAAAAAAAACACATAATCCTTTTAACTGTACAAGTGTACACAGAGCAAGTACAGTACATTAGCATGCATCAGACACTGGTATCCATCTCAGGCTGATTTCAAGCATCCATGTTACTGTATCAGTAACGGCATTTAGCCATTTACATTCTTCTGGGTTTATATTGCGGTGTAGTGTGCATTACTGTTTATATTGGTGATCCTCTGCACACCCCACATGTGTGGCTTGAGATATGATGTAGTGATGTGCGCAAACTCTATGAATCATCTCTTATAGCCAACTTCAAAGTTAAACGCAGCCTGCTAAGTAAATCATTAAGGTCAGCTTCTCAGACAACATACCTTCATTTTCCCTCCTAGAAGGCAAGATTTCTAAGTGATTTGTGTTTGTTAGGTTGTTTTTTTAAATCTGGTCCTTTATAAAGCAATAAATAGAATGTGACTTTGTTAAATTTTGTCAGGAGCTGTAAATGATAACTCTTTGACAACTAGGCAGATTCATGAAATTCTAACCATGGGTCTGAAAATACAGATATTGAATGATACCAGAAAGTGTCTCCTAATTCTTTTTCATACTGATAGGAGTTGTGGTTTGGGTAAGTTATTTTCAGGCATGCTTTCCTTGTGGATATCCTAGGCTCTTGACTAAGTGTCTGCTCCATGTCCTGATGTCTATTTGATATCATAGAAACATCAAACAGTTGAGGTTGCAAAGGATTTAAGAAGGTCTTCTTCTCAAAACAGGGTCAGCTCCAAGATCAGACCAGGCTACTCAGGTGGTTTTTTTATATCCAGGGTTATATCCTACTGACTTTTCTGCCCCCTCCCTTAATATCAGTTTTTACTGAGCAAAAGGCATTTCTCAAAACTGATAGATGAGTAGGATAAGAAAGACTGAGTATATAAAGTTGTGTGATGTGTATATTTATAAGCATGCTGGGTATTCCACCAATATTCAACCTTTAAATTTAGGTCAGTCCTGTAAGGAGCAGTGCATTCTTCTGTGGTGCAGAGCAACCTATGCTCTTACTTATTTCACAAGAACACTCTGTACATTATAAATTCAAGTCCAGAAGCAAATCTAGCAAATCTTAGCTACTCTCTGTTGCTCTAAATTGAATTTTTCCATTTTGTTCCCTTTGTGCTCTGGTTCTACTGTTTCCTTCTACCAACCTGTTTCAGATTCCAAGCCTCAGTCACAGTGTCATCTCACAGACAAGTTTCCGTGCAGAATATAAGTCCACAGGAGGTCCTGCCGTCTTCCAGAAGCCAGTGAAGTTCCAGGTGGACATAACATACACAGAAGGGGGAGAGGCACAGAAGGAGAATGGGATCTATTCTGTCACTTTCACACTCTTATCAGGTAACCACAGCAAAGCTCTAAAATGGATGCATGCTGGCTTTGTCCTTGCTGATATAGACACCAGCAAAGAGACCTCTGCCAGGGGAAAGAATATACCTGTCTTGATCTTAGGAAAAAATTCAGACAGGGGCAAAGAGGACATCAGGAACAAAAATTATGTTGGTAGTGATGGAAATTCTGGGAGGGAAAGAGATTTCCAAAGAGGTGAAGTTGCCACCACCAGGATTAGGGATAAAATGGATTTGAAGTATCTCCCTGTACTGTCTCTTTGGTTCACTCAGAAGTCTGAATGTTTCAGTTGGCCACCGTGAGACCACTGGTTTCTCCTGACAGAAACATGCAATCACCTTTTTCTTCTGGATGGCCACACACACCCCACAGGGGTTGAAACCAACCAAAGGGTCAAGAAACAAGCAGACCCACCTTTTCTGTCTTTACAAAAGGAACCCAGAAGCCATCCTCCCTCCTGTTAAGTCCAGCACACCACAGTCCTCTTATTGATGTGGGGACTGCATAATAGTTCCTCAATGACATGCTTTTGGTTGAAGGACAGATATACTGTCAGTACACTCTTGGGGACAAGACTGAAGGGAAGATGCTTGTGATCCTTCCCCTCCAGCCCAGGTTGTATGAGGGTTCAGCTCCCACTCCTTTCACAGCCATTTGTGCCTCTTCTCTCCTCACAGGTCCAAGCCGTCGTTTTAAGAGGGTAGTAGAAACCATTCAGGCACAGTTGTTAAGCACACATGACCAGCCTTCAGTGCAGCAGTTATCAGGTAAGTAATTTCTACTGTTGAGCACCTTGCTTCAGCAGGGACAGGAAGGTAAAGTGCCTCTCAGTAACAGGAGGCTGAGGGTGGCCATCCCTCTGATTACAGCAAGGAACAAGCTCCTTTCAGACAGAGCAGTAACTCCCCACACCCATCCTACCCCTCCCTCTCTCATTCCCACTCCAATGCTCCCAGCACATTCCCCAAACAGCTTTTGCCCTCCTCCTGCCCAAAGAGCCATTTGCCCACTTCTCCATTAAAAGCTGCATCATCAATAGATTTTCCAGATTTTCTCCAGCTCCAAAATCTGCCAGAACAGGGACATGCTCTAGAAGATACCTGGTTTTCAAACCCTTCAGGCATGCTTTAGAAACTCCAACTTCAGAGGGTCCCAGCACAAAGTTGAGAGCTATTGGTAACTTTGTAATATGCTCAGAAGTTCCCAGTAGTGTAATCAAATTCTTGCCTCAGTATTGTGGTAGCACAAACCGTATATTAAGGTCTTGCAGAAGCTGTATTTTACCTGTTTTAAAAGTAAATTTCAATTCCTCATGGTGGTAAAGAAAATCTTACATGTGTGACCCTGTGAAATGACATCAATCTGAATATGCAGGCAGCCTGAATTGATAATAAACTGGTCTCATCCCACCATTATGTAACAAGTGTTCACTCTGAACTCTAGTGGTAACACAAACACACACAAAAAAATGGCAGTGTAACTCTTCTGTCCTTTAGAAGGACAGAACAAAGAAGAAGGTGAACATTGAAAACCTGAAGAAGCTTAGCTATTGGTAGTGCTTCAAGGAAGGAAAAATGAGGAAAAGCTGGAAGATACAAGAAAGAAATAGGAGCAAGGCAGAGAGCAAGGCTGCAGGAACACAAAGAGGCAGGAGGAGTGGGAAGAATTTGCCCATTATACGATGATGAAAAGCTAGTAACTAAATATTGTGCATAAGAGCCAAATTCTATGCTTGCTCTTTGTGTGAAGAAACCCAAGACAAAACTGGGGGAATGAAGTTTGCATTGCATCCTGCAGTTAAATCCCAGATGTCCTTGGCTCACTATACATATGGGTTACATACTTCTAATGTGGCTTTAACAGCTGAAGATAAAATAACTCCATCTAAAAGAGTGTATGATTATTAAATGCCAGAAAAGCATGCCCAGTTCAGGAAATATTACTTCCCACTTTGCTTTTGCCCTTCAGAACTGCCTGACCTTCTGTAGGCTATACTGCAAAGGTGCTTAGCCCATGGGTTATTCTGTTAGGGAGCAGGAAAGGTGAGGCTACTAGAACTGTAGTTGATTAGGGATTTTGCTCTCTGGAATTTTGAAATTAAATCAAACTCAAGGAAGAAGCCAGAATTTTCTGCCAGTCCTTCCTCTTGAGAAATGCTAGACCAAGAGGGTGTGAGAGGAGTTAGATAGAAATGCATCTTTCAAGTCGACTTTGTATTGCCCCTGCTGCATGTGTGATGTTTGAGCATTCCTTGTTTCTTAGGGAAAGAAGTGTACCCTTACTTTCTGGTGAGGAGAAAATTGTTAAAAAAGTAGACAACATGGTGATCTCTTTTAACTTTTTCACCCTAGTATGTGCTAGCTACTGAGACTCTCTAGGAAGACTTGGACCCTGTTGCACACTTGCACGTGAAGCAGAATGTCTTCCTAATAAAGTCTTGTTATAATAGGAATTAAAAAAACATTCCTCTGGCTGAGGCTCAGGGAGATGTTTAGGGCAAAGTATTCAATGAGAAATGTATCCAACTTACAATTTTGCACCATTTCTGGAATGGAGAAATCATACTATAAACACAGAATCTCCTTTTACTGCCTGAAGCTCCATGAGAGTGTGATGTTCTAGCAGGGAAAACCCAGCCTGATCTTTAGTGTCAGAGTGGAATGGAGAGCTCCACGTGGAGCAAAACCAAAATGAATGGTCTCTTAAAACTCCAAAATGAGAATTCCTTTGGTCAGGGAGTTATCCTGGCAAGACAGCTTGTAAGAGGCAGAGTGCCAAACTATCCTGTATCGTAACACCTTGCCTGATCAGTAAGTCAACCTGAAAATTTTAGGGTGGGACAGAGTACATGGAAAATCGAACAGGAAGGGGGAAAAAAGGATTGTTACAAGAAGAGACAACTTACACATCAAAGTAGGGAGGCCTTGTGGTTCACATCCCCAGCTAGTGAAAGACTAAGGGGAAATAAAGGGATACAGGGACAGCAACAGTTCACATGCACCACCTTGCTTACCTGAGTGGCTGTGGTTGGGAAGATGTGTGCATGAGATCCCTAGACATTACCACAGGATTACTCAGCATTTCTCACTAGAAAAAAGGCAAAGTCTTCTCTGTTTCTCTTCTTCTCCTATATCCCTAGCCATGAATGACTCATGGAATAGGGATTGTGGTGGTTGAACTCCTATTCATGTTCATGGTTCGAGAATACTCTGTAGGCAGTCCACTGCTGCAACAGAACAAGCTCACAGTTCACTTTGACTCTCCTCCATGGCGCTGAGGATACTGCTGGCTCTGACCAGCAATACTGGTCCAGCACCAGAGATTTTTTTTTCCTATCTCATTGTGGACAGACATACCCTCTGTCTTCCCTTTTAGTTGAGGTGGGATGATGAAAACCATTTCAGGTGGGACATTACAGGTGGGATGACGAAAACCATCTGTGAAAGGTGCATGCATGTAAAATGAGACCTGCAGAAAGGAAAGATGCAGTGAACACAGTATAAAGCAGAACAGCAAGGCCTAATAAATATATGGGACTTATAGTCATTCTCTCTCCTGCCCCTCTTTGATCTGTTATGCACCATGCCAGCCCACTAAGCCGGCTTGCCTGGGTTTCAGAACACACTTTCCTCTTTCTCATTTCCTCCAGCTCACAATGATGTTTGTAGATGTTGTGTTGCCCATGCATCTCTCTATGTGTGCACATGTGAGCCTGACATGTACCTGATGTAGGCAGATGTGTTTCTGTGTCACACTTGAGCACCTTATAATCTCCCTTCCTTCTGGATATCCCTCCATTCATTTCCATTTTTCTTTCCTAAAACTGGCTGTGCTTATTTCTTATGGCATACTCTGAAGCAGGAAAATAGCTTCCCTCCATTACCTGAATAAGTGTGTAAATAAATGAGATCTATTCCAAAATGTAGTACTTCTAAAATCCACTGTCCACTTGGCCAAATACTGTGCAACTTATCAGCCTTATACCTTAATGTTTTGGAACATTAAATTCTCTGTGGTATAACTGCTGAGATAATAACAGGTCTACAGAATCATGACTGGCATAGTACGATAGGGAGTAATTGGTTAATTTTTCTTCTCAATGAAAGAACTAGAGGCCATCATATTAAAGTAGTGGAAAGCCATGTACCAAAAAAAGACATTGGAAGGCATATCTTCATGTCATGTAAGACCTCTGGAACTCTTCACTGAAGCAGGTTCTGAATGTGGGGAGCTTGCAGATGGCTCATCTTCCCCTGAGTACTTATTCACAGGGAGACTGTTCGACTCCCTGGAAGTGAAATTTTCATGAGAATTGCTAAACAGAAACCACAGCAGGTTCAGGAAATCTCTGACCTGAAAGTGGTGAGCAAGTGAGGCAGTGTTCTGTATGCTTGGCCTACTGTTACACTCCTACATGTCTGTGTATGGCTGCTGATGGAGACACAGCACTGGATAATTTTGGCCTTTGATCTGAACCAGAATAACTGCCCATGTGGTCTTGTTACTGGTATCACAAAACCCAGTGAGCCCAGCGAGTCCATGAAAGGACAGTCCCTTTTGGACCAAGAGTGAGCATAGCTTTCTCTGAGAACAGCTGGCCTTGTCTCTCATCTATGTATGGCCCCGTCCAGGAGCTTTATACTTAGAAATCTCTACTTGGGTAGTACCTGGGCAGGACTGCCCTTTGGTGGAATAAAAAGATCTCTATCCATGAAGGAAAATATCTCAGATTTGTGCCTTTGTTTCAGCCCAATACTCTTCATTAAATCATAACCTGTTTTCTTCCAGTGCCTTTGCACAAAAGAGTAATAGAAACAGCTGGTGAATAGGGACATGCAAAAGCCACCTGTGATCATTCACAGGTTATCAGTTTTTATTTCCTTAATATTTTCTTGCCTCTTTGGGCTTTGGTTTTAAGTGTGGGGTGCTGCATATTCTTTTTTTTTTTTTCCAATTTCCCAATATTCTGGGCAATCAGCAATACTGAAATAGCCTTTATAACTTCTTTGTAATAGGTTTTCTGTTTCTTTATTTATTGGCTTCATGTCAGATATTAACCATTCGCATCTTAAGGTTCAGAGCATCTCAGTGGTACTGCTGGAAATGCCTCTCATTAGCAGAAACAAGTGTTTAGAGACCATATCTATCTTCAAAATACAAGTTGTATTTTGAAAAGTACAAATTCTTGCTCATTGTATGCATCTTTTCTATATGCACCCAAGCTCTCTTACTGTGCTGGTGTACATCTCAAAAAGCAAAACATGTTCATGTGACTCAAAAAACTTCCAAGACTATTGATCTGTGAATTTGGGGTGTTCATCTTCATGGTTTACAAGAGCCATGGGTTGCTACAAAAATTAGCAAGAAAGTTAGAGTCCCCAAATGTGCAAAGGATTTTACCATCAAGACAGAAAAGGGAGTAAGGAGCAAGTGAAGTGTTTTGCAAGGTAAACTTTCTGCTGCAGACTCAAGACAAGGCTATACAAAGGCCTGCTCAAAATTAGAGCACAAGGCAGTTTATCCAGGGCTTATCCAGGTCCCAGCTTCATCTTATTTCCTGCAATCTTGTGCAATCCTTTATGTCTTACTGCTTTTGTAATACCTGGGGCAATTACTTCACCTTGCTATTATGGCTCCCACCTACAAGAGGCGGCATGTAATGCCTGGTTGGATTTACAGAGCACTGGGTTTTTGCTAAACAGCTTTAGTGTTATTACTGAACAGACTTCATTAAAATTAATGGAGTAGTCCTGAAATAAAGCATGTA